GGGGGGAGAGAGAGAAGGAAGGAGAGCCAGGGGGAAGGGTGGGAGGGAGGAAGGGAGGGTAGGGGAGGGGGAGGGTGTGAGGGTGGAAGGGAGGGAGGAAGGGTAGGGGAGGGGGAGGAAGGAGGGAGAGAGGAGAGGAAGGGAGGGAGGGGTGAGAAGAGGGGGGAGGGAGGGGGGGATGGGAGGGGAGAGGTCGGGAGGAAAGGGAGGGAGAAGATGGGTGGGAGGATGGGGGGGGGGAGGAAGGAAGGAAGGGGTGGAAAGAGGGGGGAGGGGGGGAGGGGGAGGGTGTGAGGGTGGGAGGGAGGGAGGAAGGGGAGGGGGAGGAAGGAGGGAGAGAGGAAGGGAGGGAGGGGTGAGAAGAGGGGGAGGGTGTGAGGGTGGAATGGAGGGAGGAAGGGTAGGGGAGGGGGAGGAAGGAGGGAGAGAGGAAGGGAGGGAGGGGTGAGAAGAGGGGGGAGGGAGGGGGGATGGGAGGGGAGAGGTAGGGAGGAAAGGGAGGGAGAAGATGGGTGGGAGGATGGGGGGAGGGAGGATGGAAGGAAGGGGTGGAAAGAGGGGGGAGGGAGAGAGGGAAGGGGGAGGGAGGAAGGGAGGGAGGAAGGGTAGGGGAGGGGGAGGGGGGTGGAACGGAGGAAGGAAGTAAGGAAGGGGGAGGTAGGGAGGGAGAAAGGAAGGGCGGATGGATAGGGGGCGAGGGAGGAAGGAAGGAAGGGGAGTGGGAGGAGGGGGAGGGAGAGAGAGAGAGAGAGAGAGAGAGAGAGAGAGAAAGAGAGGAGAGAGGGGGCGGAGAGAAGGAGAGAGAGGGGAAGGAAAAGAGATAGAGATAGAGATAGATAGAAAGAGAGAGAGAGACAGAGAGAAAGAGAGAGACAGAGAGAGAAGGAGAGAAAGGAGAGAAAGGGGAGCAGAGAGAAGGAGAAAGAGAGGGGGAGGAAAGGAGGTAGATAGAAAGATAGATAGAAAGAGAGATAGAGAGAAGAGAGAGAGAGAGAGAGAGAGAGAGAGAGAGAGAGAGAGAGAGAGAGAGAGAGAGAGAGAGAGAAAGAGAGAGTGAGTGAGAGAGAGAGAGAGAGAGAGAGAGAGAGAGAGAGAGAAGAGAGAGAGAGTGAGAGAGAAAGAGAGAGTGAGTGAGTGAGAGAGAGAGAGAGAGAGAGAGAGAGAGAGAAAGAGAGAGCGAGACAGAGAGAGAGAGAGAGAGAGAGAAGAGAGAGCGAGACAGAGAGAGAGAGAGAGAGAGAGAGAGAGAGACAGAGAGAGAGAGAGAGAGAGAGAGAGAGAGAGAGAGAGAGAGAGAGAGAGAGAGAGAGAGACAGGGGGGGGGAGTTACCTACGTTGTTGCTAATTCGGAGATTTTGAAAGGAATATAAATAAAATAATGCCGTAGGTTATTGAATTTGTTATTTAAAGAAAATAACTTCAATATTATTTAGACTCGGAAGACCGTAAAGCATTTCTTCAGTTTGCTGTGACTTGTGTCAGATTAAAATATGATGTCTATAAAGATAATAGTGATTATGACAAAGATAATAATAATAAATTGATAATAATAATAATAATGGTGATAATAATAATGATAATAGTATTAATAATAGCAATAACAATAATGATAACAACAATAATAATCATAAAAATGATGATTATAGGATTAACAACAATAATGATGATAATAAAAGTGATGTCAGTAAAATAATAAATGATGATGATGATAAATGGTACAACAAAACGATAACACTAACGGTCATGATGATAATAAAGATTACGAAATCCTTCTTCGATACACTCAATTACCTGAATCTTGTTGAAAGTTCAAGGAATGTTTTGATAAGAATTCTTAGAACTACAGAAGTTCAGAGCTACAGGGTACAGGCTCTTAACAAGATGAAGAAGAAGGAGAGGAAGAAAGAATGAAAAGAAAGAATAAAAAAACGCAGAAAATTAGGTAATAGCTATTTCAAAAGATATGGGATCTCTGCGCCAGAGAATGTACACCACATGTGATTTATTCTTTGTTTCCGTTTTTATTCTCTGTTTACGCTTTGGAGGTAACGAACAGTTCCGTTTACTTTGGTAAGGTATCATTGACTATTGGTATCGGGGTTGTTGAAATGTTGGAGTGAGGTCCGTGGTATGCGGACGGGAATGAAGCTGGTTGGATAGGCCGTTTGATAGACACGCAGAGGACAGGAGCGAAATCTACGGTAGTGCCATACTGAGGAGTTGATGATCCTCAGGCTCGCGGTGCAGTGCCTTCATATTACCACTCAAAGACAGGCTGTGTATGCTATTTGATGGTGCTCGAACTGAACGCATCAAGTCAGTTAATTAAACGCGGGGTTTCCCTTTCATCGGCCACCCTCTTTTTTATTCCTTCTCGTCTGATAACAGTCTTAAATTAATGGTGAAGAATTTCTGTGTGGTGTGATAATTACGAGGGAGAGTTTTCCTGTAATTACCGCGTGTGTATTGAGGCCTCTCTGCTAATGAAGCTTACCAATGGGCTGATATCCATGCTTGATGCAACTCATCGCTCTATCAGCTACAGCACGCACTTCACACTTTGCTTTATTCCGGTAGTTCTCACCTCACATTCTCTTTTTTTTCAAACTTCTACCTTTCTTTCGCTCCTTCCTCCTTAATTTGTCGATGTTCCTTTTAGTGTTGTTTCTCTTCTTTTCTTTTTCCTCCCTTTCTCACTCTTCCCTTCGTACTTCCTTTAATTCCCCTCCTTCTCGCGATCTCAAATTCTCCCGTGGAACTCTTCATGCACTTTTCCCAACACCTTCGCTTGACTCCTCTCCATGAGATCATAACAGGTACTTCCGATCAAATCTAATGTAATGCTCATAAAATTTCGTGGGTATATTAACAAGTGATTTAGCAAAATGCGCTCTCTTTAGGGGAAGAAAAGAAGAAAAGACATTAACCTGGCAAGACTTGAGGAGGATAAGTGCTATTGTCTTTCTTGGCTTTCATAGAAGTGCTGCGAGGAGGATCGATGACACGTTATATAAAACGGAAACAATACCGCGGTCTGCTCGTCCCGCTCTCCTCCCGCGGTCCACCACTACGCTCTCCGCTTTGCTAAGAACACACTCTCCTGCCGTCGTCCTTTCTCCTAGGACATTCACGGCGGGGAGTTCGATCGCATGCGTGCCTCAGTCTCTTATGGTTCAAGTTGCTATTATGTTTTGAACCGTTGTTTGTGGTCCGGAAAGCTGATATGGCTCAAGGTGCTGTTATGGTTTGAACTAGTCCCATGGTTCGAAACACTGATATTGTTCGAGACCTCGATGGTTTGAAGTATTTTTATGGTTCGAACAACTGATACTGTCCGAACCTTCAATTGGTTTGAATGGTTTGATGCTGTTATTTTCTGAACCGCTGTTATGGTTCGAATCCCTTTTCACAAAGCCCATTAATTATCGCCATCATCGTCGCTTTGAACCAATGCATCATCCGGCTCTGGAGACACTCAGACCACGTAGGACTTCGGAAGGATCCTCCCAGGCCAGAGGAGCACTCGAGGATGGATGGCCACTGCGGGCTTCAGATTCACTCACACGATTTCCGAGCAAATAACGCCGGGACAAACAGCCAAGGAACAAGTGGCAATGGAGAGAGAGAAGACACAAGATTATGACGATAAAGCGAATCGGTGGGAAGAAAATTGCAGCAGAAGGAACAGCAGGCGAATGCAATCACAAAGAACAAACATCGTTAAGGCAAATTGCAGTTGGAAAGAAAACAAGAGCGTTGACTGAAGGAAACACGAATAATAAGTCACTCCGCCGTGTCTTTGCCAGAGCATCGTCACAATAGTGCAAGATGCAGGTAATGAGATTATGTGCGAAGGGCGCCGGGACAGAGAGAATGAGAGGGTAAAGGGGGGGGGGGGGTCATCCTCACCGTAAGCCAATCTTGATTGGAAATGGAATTCTGGGCCGACGGGGGTTTCTCGTCACAAATTAGTTCCTGGATTTCCTTGTTGTCATTATATTACCATTATTTTTATCATTTATTATTTCAAATTATTATCATTGTTGTTAGAATTATCACTACCATTTCTTATTGTTGTTTGTGCTGTTTATCATCATTTTTACTATTGTTATTATAATAATTATCACCATTGTTATTGTTATTACATCATTATTATCATTATCATTGTCATTACTATTCTTCTTTTTATTATTATTATTATTATTATTATTGTTTTTATTATTATAATTGTTATAGTGATAATAATTAAAGTGATAATAGCTATAGTGATACTACTACTACTAACACCACTGCAACTACGAAACAACTACTATTACTATCATCATTTTTATTATATTTTCTTCATCATCATCAGCCAAAGTCAGTGTCACTGTTAACATTATCAACATTCTTACTATTAACCTTGCCATCATTATCACTGTTATCATTATTACATATATTACCACCATAGCCATGATTACAGTCAATTTGATCTAATATCATTACGTACATTTCCGGGTTTTAGGGTTAAAATGGACTAAAGCAGACCTGTAATGGAAATTGGCACGTAATTCTCCTCTGACTAAAGCTTATGAGAGAGAATTACATTTAGTCCGTGACTGGCGAGGATTAGTGATTATACCAGCTGGTGACTAATAGAAAGTGGGGAAAACTGGGTTTGTCTTTTTAGCTTAGAACAGTTAGTTAGAGTCTGGGATTTGCAATTTGGTCGGTAAAGATTGGCAGTTGATCTAATCGTAAAGCCTAAGATTAAGTCTCTTATGTCAACGATGATATATATATATTTATCAACAAATCACGAAGGAAGTAGTACACAAAGATAGAACTATAAAGAGAAAAATCGAATGACAGAAAATGAGAAAAAAGAAATAGAGGTACATTGACATACACTCCATCACACGGATAACCCGCCTCTTTTCCGGCAAATAATGGGTACTTACGATAATGACATTCGCAACATAACCCTAATTAAAGCTAATTATCCTCTCTAACGATTGCAG